ACGATAGGGCCGATGTTGAATCGGGTACATAACAATGATCTCTATTATCATCCCCACAGCAATAGAACATATACAGAAATTCCCAATAGCAGTCAAGACCTAAAAAGCAATGAAGAGAAATGAGTGGATACAAAAGCCGATTGTAAACAACCAAATGAGAAGGATGTGAAATGGATTGAAGAACATTGCAAATTATTTACCACAATGGTGCGAGTGTTGCATGTAATTGTAATGAAAACCAACACTGGGAGCCATTGCGATTTTTTATTTTTTTTTGGTGACGGACTATAATTTTAACCTTACAAAAATAAAAAAATAAAAAGCAATTTTGATTGTCCATACCTTCTGAAAATGGCCCACTTGGTTTGTGCTGTCCACAAGGTGAGCAGCCTTGCCAAAGAAGGTGTGGACACCAGTAGCAATGACCACTGCTTCTAACTCTCCCTGTTTGCAAGTAGATCCTGAATAAACCCCATCCCCAGGGCCTTTCGTCACAGGAAGGGACTCACCAGTCAGTGCAGACTGCAAAGCCCGAATAGAGGTATTCAAGTAAAATAGCTTAACTATTAGAAGATGAAATCAACCTACTTCAATGATGAACGAAAGAATGATGGTCAACAGCACCTGGTCTATTTTCAACGGGTCACCATCAAGGAGACGAGAATCAGCCGGAATTATATCCCCAAGTTTAATACTAATTATGTCACCTGGAACAAGAACAGCTGCATCTTCCTCACTCCATTTCCCATCTCGAAAAACCTATGGATTTTTCATTTTAGATTTAATCAATTTAGCGGAGAAGATGGGTAGTAATTCATACACCAAACTTAAATAAACAAGTAAGGCAAAGACAGATAAACATGCAAAGGTGGAACTATTGAATTGTGTTTTACAATAGATTTGAAAGTTTAAGTCAACAACTCATAGCAAAGTACAAGACGACAACTAACTTCTAATCCAAACTCCATTACCTTTGCTTTAGGAGCGAGACGAGCCATGAGAGCTGCAGCAGCATTACCAGCGTTGTTCTCCTCGATAAAACTTATAGTTGAATTGATAACAAGCAAGGTAATGATTCCAACAAAATCTTGCCAATCAGGTGGTTTTCCCTGCAAAACACGGGAAATGTGAAGTTCCTATAAGAAAAATCCACACAAATAATAAAAACCATTGGGAACAAAATAAACATAAATGTCCTGTCTGGTTGGTGAAAATTTGCAGAGAGGCAAAACAAATTAAACTATAAATTTTAAAATTGTCCTTACCCAGTTCCAAGGAAAATATATATACATATATATATATATAATAGAAAATAAATAAAAAAAAGAACCTCCACTGACTTATCCCTCAAAAAAGAGAGCACCTGCACTCATCTGATCCTAACATAACTTGACTTGTTCAAAGAAATTTTTATTTATTTAAAATCAAAAACAAAAACCAAATAAAACAAAACAAATTTTCTCAAGAACAAGACAAAGGGACAACAAAGAACTAGTGCTTACTCCTCCATTGGCAAGTGCAATGGCCATAATAGCTGCAGCTTCCATAACCCATGAAAGTGGGTTCCACATAAACCCCAAGAACTTGAAAAACTTACTATCCTGCAACATCCCAATAAATAATTTAAGTAGCAAAAAAAATAAAAATAAAAATCTAAAGACAAACATCATCATCAACACCAACAACAACAAGAAACGTTAAAAAGCAATATAAATGTAGGAGGCACCTCCTTTTCCTCAAGCTTGTTGTGCCCAAAAATGCCCAGTCTCTGTTCAGCAGACTCGGATGTGAGTCCCTCTCTGTTACATCTCAGATTCTGAAAAACCTCCTCAATCGGTATGCTTTCCTGCACATTCAATTCATATATTCAAATTCACCACTGACCCAGTACCAATCCCAGAAAAACAACCACGCACATTCAAAAAAATATACAAAAAAAAAAAAACCCCTCGAAAGAACAAAAAAAGAAGAATAGAGAAGCGAGTCTGTAGTCCCAGAGTCCGTACCAAATCCACTGACTCCATCTTGAGAGCCTCCATTGTTACATCCTTAGTTTCCATCTCGGTCTCTTTCATTTTGTGCCACTACAGAAACAAAAACGAAAAAAATACATATAGTCTTATATGTATATATATATATATAGAGAGAGAGAGAGAGAGAGAGAGAAATGTATATACATATCTACGCATAACATAACCAGAAACACCATGAACGGAGCTATACAGAAACAGAAAATAATGGAGAATACAGCGGAATTGAAGGACTCACCAAGTATTATTACTGTGAATTTTTTGTATTCAGAAAGGTTGGGCAATCTGGAAGAAGAGCACGATCATGTTGAACAACACAATCCAAAAAATGGGCCAAAAAACCAGCACAAGATAGAGATGAATTGCCTCTCTCTCTCTCTCTCTCTCTCTCTCAAGTTTCTCTCTCTAACTCTTAACAGTTTTTTTTTTTGAGGAACAAGGGTTAGCGTGTCTTACTGCGGATGAGCAGCTCAAAGAAGATCATGTACTTGGTTGGTACACTCTGTCACTTTTTATTTATGAAAAAATAACTCATTTATGATGTTTAGGGGAAAAAAAAATTTTATCAAAAAAAAAAAGATAAATATTATAAATATTAATAATTATAATTATAATTTTTTTACGATACTGCTGTATGGATGATAAATTTTTCTTTTATTTATTGCATTAATTTTCTTTTTTATTAATCATTATTATATCCAAATATATAAAATTCTTTTTGGCCACAGAGATGAGTTGGTGGTGTGGTGAATAGTTGGAATCTACATTTGTGGAATTTAGGATTCCAATTTTGGTCATAGAGGTTGAGAAAAAAATAATTTTTTGAATTTTTTTTCTCACATTTCAGTTTTTGATAAATAATGTACCTAACTTCTTCAAAAAATTCTAATTTCAACAATACAAATTTAAATAGTTGAGTTGAGTTCCTTTGCTAGGGTGTTTTTATTTACACATAATAAATATCTTATTACATTTATTTTATAAGACTTTGTTCATAACATATAAAAAAATACAATGTATATTGCGAGTATAATATGTGTAAATAATAGGGGTGAATATGGTCCAGATTGATTTAGATTGGGGTAAAATTAGACCAATCAGTTATTTACGGTTTCTGAAAAATTAAAACAAATCCAATTTGTTTAAATCGTAGAACCAATCGGAACCAATCTATTTAAACAGAGATCGGATCAATTTAGAACCACGGATTCACATAATTAAATAACAAAAAAAAAATATAACATTTTAATTTCATAAAAACATAAACATAGCTCATATTAATTTCACAATAGCAACATGTTTTTCCACAGTAGTAGTGACATACTATTCTAGAATTTAAACAACCATAAGAAAATTGATTCCATTATAAGTATTTAAAACATTACAAATTAAAATTAAAAACCAACAAACAAAAACAATAAAAGAATATGCTATGTGGGTTTAGGTTTGGGTTTAAGTTTTATATGGAATAAGAGAAGATACTATGCAGGAGGGTGTATAATATAAATGGGTCCAGCTTGTCTCAAGTTGAGATCAAGACTGGACCTGTTCAGTTCAGTCCATGGAGCCAATTTTTGGGGCCCATTTTGATAATCCGAACCGTTCAATGTGTAGAACTCGTCGAGTACTACATGCTTGTAAAAAATCACGTTGATCGGATATCAATAGGTATGTGATCAAATCAGTTTTGTATAAAAAAAAAATAGATGGTGAAAAAATTAACGGTTGATTAAAAACTGTTTTGTTCACATAGCTATCGATATCCGATCAACATGATTTTTTATAAGCATATAGTACTTGACGAGTTCTACACATTGAACGGTTCAGATTATCAAAACGGGACCCATGGTGGGCCCTCATGGGCCCAACAGTACGGTCCAATCCGATCTTGGACTGGACCAAAGCCACTACCAATATAAATATAGGCTATTTGTATACGGTCCGGATCGGTTACAATCTGAAATCATGGGATTCAATTCGGAACCGATCCGTGGACTATGAATTTTTAATTTTTCAATCTATAATTGAATTACGGATTCCAAAAAACAATCCAAACCTACCGAAATGGATTGGAGTGGACCAGATCGGATTACGAATTTTACGAATTTTTTGCTCAGTCCTAATAAACAGAAGTTCCTTTTATTCTTTCAATTGACATTTTAACCCCTACGAAATTGCTGTTGTGTTATTGTTTTAACCAAACTAACCAAATTACACTATTGATTCGGTACGATCAGTATTTAGATAACAAAAGTTTACTAAATCGATAATGTTGATTTTGTTATTTTAAACTGATGTAGACCGCTCCCCGTATCAAACCGCACTAAATCGAATCGTTTAATCGGTTCTGTTCGGTGAGCTTTAATCGGTTTAGAATCTTTCAAACTTGAGCAACTTTTAAATATAATCACTAATATATATATATATAAATATTAAATTAGTTATTTGTCCACCATTTTAAATATATCCAATCTATTCATTTAATAAATACTTTTTAATTCCTAAATTAACAAAAATAAAAACAAAAAAAGTTAAAAAATACTAAAATTTCAAGAATAATGACTTAGAATTAAGATTATATATAATAAGAGTTCACAAAGTGGGCTATAATCCGCTTCTCAGATTATAACCCACCTCATCTCTCACAAAAAAGCTATTTATAAGCAGCTTTTTATCAAAAAACTGATTATAATCATCTTCTCAAAATAGCCCAAACTTATGTTATAAAGATGATAAAATTAATAATTTATTATACTTATTAATATCATTATATTATTAGATTATATATAACATATGTTGAAATGGTCGGTTTTGGTTTAATTCAGTACACAAAGTGTTTGAACTAATACCGAATTAAAAAAAAAAATCAAATTTAAAAATCGAGCAAACCGATTCTTGTTAAAAAGTAGACTAAGGGGTTGTTTGGGATGACCTAAATAAGTGTATTTTTGTCTTTTTACGAAAAGATGTGCAGAAAAGTAGATAGGTAATGTGATGAAAAAAAGATAAATTATTTTATAGTAGCTAAATTTGGCCTAAATATAATTGATTTGATCCGATCCAATCGATTTGATCGATTTTTTTTTTCTTTGGACTTTGATCGGAAAAAGGAAAACAAAAATCAATAACTATAAAGGAAATAGAGAAATGAAAAGTTGCACGTATGCATGTGACTCATCCGTTAAAGCAATTCATTAATCTCGATATTAATTCCTTCATTATTGTAGCATTGATTTTGTTTTTATCGTGAGAATTGAAAAAATCAAAATCAAAGGAAATTGGCAACTTGAAAACATTATTGGAGAAGACTTTTCCTTCTTCTTAATGTTTTACAAGTACATTATTAGTGTCACATATTTTTCAATAAGGTTTGATTTCTCGTAAATTATTATTTTTATTTGAGAGAGTATTTGAATTTGATAGACTTATTTTAAAATCAATTTCGATGATTCGAATCGTTCACTTTTTTAGACTTGTTAAATATAATATTTATGTAAAAAATTAAGATGATTGGACATCAGTAGTTATATATTTGAATCATATTTGTTTTTAAAAAATGAATAACAAATATAATTTCAAAAATAATCATTCAAGAATAATCATTCATTTTTTGTAATACAAATTTAAATCGAACATATAGTTACCGATATCCGATTATCTTGATTTTTTTTATAAATATTTTACTCAACAAGTCTTAAAAAATGAACGGTTCAAATCATCGAAAAGGAATACGTGGTGTGCTCCACAGGCTCTTCAAGTTCTCTCATATTGAGATATAAATATGAGAGAAGCCTAACCCTTCAATAAATATTTTGCTGTTTTTTACACGCTTAAATAGAAGAACACATGATTGTTGTTCTATTGTACATTAGGGTAAGGTTTAATTTCAACAAAAATGCTAGACGCTCCAAAAATTCTACCAAAAGTTTTATCAAATGTCTCATATGGATGTGGGACCCACATGGGACCCACATTGTGTGGGTCCCACACCCATGTGAGACATTTGGTAAAACTTTTGGTAGAATATTTGGGGTCTCTAGCATTACTCTAATTTCAATCCTTATTTAGACTGAAGAGGATTGCTTAGGCTGGTGGAGCCTATTATGGGTCTTATTTTGATGATCTGAATTATTTATTTTATTGGGCCCTACATCTATATCATCCGTAAAAATAAAAATAAAAATTAGATAAATTCGATATTTGTAATTCCTTCATTTTATCAAATTTGTATTTAAAAAAAATGAATGGTTTATTTTTAAAACGTATTGGCCGTTAATTTTTTTAGAGATAAATTTTATAAAATGAAGCGACTACAAATATTAGATCGATTTGTTTTTTTTTTTAAATTTTTTATTTATGAATGAAATACATGCAAAGTCTGATAAAATGAATAGTTTAGATCGTTGAAATGGGTCTCCTAATGAGCCTCACAGGTCCAAATAGTTCTCTTCAATTCAGATTAAGACTAGAGGGAAGCTAGTCTCCAAAAATTCATTATGTTTTGAAATAAGTAATTAAGGAAGCCCATGAAAATGTTTAAAATAGTTATTTTACTAGGATGGCACAAGCTACAAATATAATGATAATCTTTAATTGATATAGATTGACAGTAATAAAGTCTTTTATTCTTTGTACAAGGAAAAGGGAAAAAAATAAAATAAAAATAGCTATCATATTTCCAATGTTGGTTTACCTAAATGCAACTATTTAGTTGAATGTAAACAATGTATGTGTACACTGTCCATATAAATGCTTCTCCAAATTGTGTTTCAATCTCAACTTGTGGAAAAGATATGTGGAGAATAAAAATAAATAAAAAATTTGAAAATTATATTCATAACAAATTTCTCACCAAATTCAGAATTTAAATACAACTTTCTTTTATTTTTTTTAACAATGATATATAGACAAAATCTATGTACACAACTTGACATATACTTTCACAATTTTACAAATGCAACTATCACACTATTCTTGTAATGAATTTTATATTAAAAAATATAATAATTTATAAGCATGTCAATTTTTAATTTATTTTTTTATCTTTTGAAAAGTAAATGTAAATGAATAATATAAAAACTTATGGTATATGTTTTTTTGTTTTTAAACGTGGTCATAAAAAAAATGGATCTGGGGTGCCTATTGTGCACCTAGCATAGGCATTGTTGTACTATCTTATGGGCTCATTTTGGGATCAGATTTAGTGATCCGAACTATTAATGTTTTAAAATATATCAAGTAAAACGTACCTATAAAAAATCAAGTTAATCGAATATCGTTAACTCTTTCATCTACTCACATTTGTATCTACAAAAATAAATGACATTGTGATTTAAAATATTAAAATGAATACAAATGTGAGTAAATGAAAGGGTTAACGATATCCGACTAATTTAATTTTGTAAAAATATACTTTACTTGATTTACTCTAAAATGTGAATGGTTCGAATAATCAAGTCAGACCCCAAAA